AAGAAAGAAAGGGCGAAAGAATCGGCTAAAAGAAGGGAGTCGACGTTAATGAAGGTAAGTTTGTTTTAAATATTGATTTTATAATTGCTTTAAAACCCGACGGCCTTTGCGTATATGAAACAACTAGACAAGACAGCATATAATTTCAATGCATCTTTATTGATTCCCTTTTTATTATATTGAATTTTTTTAAATAGAAAAGAAAGCAAAGTTATTTGCACGCGAGTATTTGAAATGATTTTATTGCAAACTCAACGTTTATCGATAAAGCCATTTCATTATTAAAGGCGGTTTAGTTTTATAAAGAACACTTTACAACGTTTTGCGAAGCGTTTTTTTGGTTGAATTTACCTTAAATTGAAGCGTATATTACGTATAATAACATACCTAACATGTATATGTTGGGAAATTGATAATTTTGTAATTAAAAGTGATAGTTTAGGCGATTTTTCATTTGTAAGAACATTCTTAAAAAATTATCGTGTTACCATGACAACAACTTTAGATACTTCATGTTCGGAAAATACAATGGTTTTGTCAGCAAGGCGAGGGTTTCTGCATGCATGTATTTTCTAGTTGGTATATAATTTCGTGTTTGGATAACGAACATTTTAGCCGCCAACATACTACGCAAACAAACAAACTTAGGCTTAAATTAAAGCTAAAAAATTCTTGAAAAGAGAAAATGAACACATTCTGCGAAAACATTGCCAAGATTCATATTAACTGCCCGTGCCGAACAAATTTCGGCGGCTATCTTTCTTCTCTTCCATCCACTTTGAATATAGAATATTCCATTTTTATCGAACAAAATAAAAAAAATAATAATTATAAAACAATTAAAAACAGTTAATTTATTTTTTACTTAAATCTTTGTCTGAAATTTGTTCAAATCGCTTCATAATGGCCGCCGCCGAAACATCGATCTCGAACCCACCTCCTAAACATACGTCAGCAGGTTGGTTCGAGATTGAACGCACCTCCTCGTAGCCAATAGGAAAGCCGCTAATACGCTAGGTATGAGATAATGGCTGAAACAACATGTGGTAAGTGAATTTTTTGAAGTATTAAGACTTATATACCCTGTGATAATGTGGAAGACCTTGATCCTCACCTTATTAACTTTATGACATGGTTAATTCAGTATTTCACTCAGCAAACTGCTTCTGCAGAGAAAACTAATGAAATTGGTTATCACTATTTTGGAACAAAAACGATGGGGTAAAATAACGGCTCAACTTCATTCCTTATTACGATCCAACCTACTATTAGATAGGTGGAAACAGTGTTTACAGTTTATTGGAATGTCAGACATTGACGTTGATTTGTGTGGCTTACACAGAAAGGCTTGCATAGCATTTACTCGGGCAATGTATGAGACATGTTTGAATATTCGTGCAAAAAAAGACAAAAGACACATTTGCAGGTGATCAGTCAAATTTCAATCAAGATCCTCTTAATTTCTTATCCCCAGAATCAATGGGCAAAATAAGGGACATTGCTGGGTGGGTAATAGTGAAAGAAAGCAATGCCTGTTTAAATTACATCAAAAGTTGTAAAGGATCTAGATGTGATAAAGTGCAAGACAGAAAAAAGACTGAAAGAGAAATCAAGTCTGTTTTGGATAGTCTGAAAGCAAGTAAAGAAATATTGCTGGAAACAACCAGATATCCAGAATCACTGGAACATATAAAGACACATGATAGGGGTGGTAAAGCATTTGCAACTGATGACTTCTATGAATACATGGTAGCAGTGGGTTCGCATGCGGTATTTTTATTATCAGACAAGACATTGACTAAATTCAAAGAAGATTCTATAAAACTTGCTTGGAAATCATTGCTTTCTAATGAGGATTTAAAAAGAATATCTGAAACAATGATTAACAATATTTCCAGCAAGACCTATGACTAAATTCAAGGAAGATTCTTGTAAAGCAATAAATTAAAGTATTAAACTGAAAATTATAGTGATAAAAGCAACCTAATGATTAAGCTAATATAGTCTACAAACTAGAACATCGAAATTCATCAGTGAAACCAAAAAATAAATAGCTATTTGATAACATTCCCTTCCTCCTGTTTTGGTACATTTTAACAACGGACGTAAAATAAAGCCTTGTTCACAAGAATCGGCAACGTAAGAATCGGTCGTAAGAATCGGCAACGTTTTTATACCGACAGCCATTCACACTACTGAGTACAAGTGAATCCGACTAATCGTAATATTTTACCATCGGCGACAGTCATAGTTATTATGACAAGTGTGAACATAGTTATTATGACAAGTGTGAAGTGGTATATTCCAGTTGTACAATCCTTCGCTGCTTCGCACGAGTCGAATTTCACGTTCGCACTTGTCATAAGTGACTTGTGAAATTTGTTACAGCAATTGTAATGTTCTACCTGTTTGAAGTACTGTCGGATTATTCGCTTGACCATTCTGAGCGCGTTGTTCACCAAAGAAATTTTCAAGGGCATCTTGATTTAAAAGAAACATGCTAACTTGACACCCTGGGAATTTACTTAGTAAAGTATTAAAAGTATTACCTACTGTACCTGTAGGGTGATTTACCTTAATGTTTTTAAGCAATGTGCTTATTGTTTAAATAAATTCGATGGTCTTATCGAGGAATGATGCACTTGTTTCTGATACTTGCTCCCGGTGCATGACGCTTGTAATTCTAAAATTTGAACATATTTATATATATATATATATATATATATATATATATATATATATATATATATATATATATATATATATATATATATATATATATATATATATA